AGAGTTGGACATCATCCGCGTACAGATGACACCGTACCCCGAAACTCCGGATGATCTCCCCCAGCGGCTTTAATAATTATAATTTATATGTAAAACTTAAATCATTTCTGTTTCTAGTTTATCCATGTCGTTTCCTAATTGGATCTATCATTAAAAATAATGATAGAACCAATACACAATTTAACCAATAAATAATAATTTAATAATAATAATTTAATAATGTAATAAATTAATAATTTAATTATTATAATTTTTAATAATTTAAATTATATGTAAAAATTAAATAATTTCTGTTCCTGGTTTATCAATCTCGTTTCCTAATTGGATCTATCATTAAAAATAAGGGTATAACCAATATATAATTTAACCAATAAATAATAATTTAATAATAATTATAATTTAATAATTAAAAAATAATTTAATAATGTAAATAATATTTTAATAATTATAATTTAATAATTGAAATTATATGTAAAACTTAAATCATTTCTGTTTCTGGGTTATCCATGTCGTTTCCTAATTGGTTCTATCATTAAAAATAAGGGTAGAACCAATATATAATTTAACTAATAAATAATAATTTAATAATAATAATAATTTAACTAATAAATAATAATTTAAATAATAATTTAATAATTTAAATAATAATTTAATAACAAATAATAATTTAATAATTTAAATAATAATTTAATAATTTAAATAATAATTTAATAACTTAAATAATAATTTAATAATGTAAATAACGATTTAATAATTTAATAATCATAATTTAAATTATATGTAAAAAATCATTTCTGTTTCTGGTTTATCAAGGTTGTTTCCTAATTGGTTCTACCATTAAAAATAAGGATAGAACCAATATATAATTTAACGAATAAATAATAATTTAATAATTATAATAATTTAATAAATTAATAATTTAATTAATAATGTAATAATTATAATTTAATAATTGAAATTATATGTAAAACTTAAATAATTTCTGTTCCTGGTTTATCCATGTCGTTTCCTAATTGGATCTATAATTAAAAATAAGGGTAGAACCAATACATAATTTAAGCAATAAATAATAATTTAATAATTACAATTTAATAATTTAAATAATAATTTAATAATTTAAATAATAATTTAATAATTATAAATAAATAATTTAAATTATATGTAAAACTTAAATCATTTCTGTTCCTGGTTTATCCATGCCGTTTCCTAATTGGATCTATCATTTAAAAAAGGATAAAACCAATATATAATTTAACCAACAAAAATTTTTTTTACAATTATAATTTAATAATTAATTAAAATGTCATGTTCGTTTGTGGGATTAACATAACTCAAAAACCATTGGGCGAATTGACACCAGATTTGGACACAATACACGTATCAGGCCAACGAGTGACCATCACTCATAAAAACACCAAAAAACACAGCAGAAAAGATTTAAAAGGCCAAAAAAACCAAAATATATTTGTGTTCTGGAACGGGTGTTCCAGGGGCTCCAATTTTGTGTTTTGCACTGAGTGTTTGTTCATAGTTCTAGGTTCCAGGGACTTTGCAGATAGGTGGCTTCCTTTGGCTGCATTCATAGGGCAGGCCACCTGTCAATACACTTAGAAACAAATGCGGCCAT